CCTGAGGGTAAGCTTGGGTCTGCAGTCCTTGTCTGCAAGCAAGAGCCTCAGAAGAGAACTCCGGCCGCTCCCCTTTAAGAATAAGGCTGTGCATTGAAACATGTATATTATCTAGGGTGAAACAGATCACCAGCCCAGGTTGGGTGCATGAGACAAGTGCTCGGGCCTGGTGCACTGGGAAGACCCAGAGGGATCGGGTGGAAAGGGAGGTGGGAGGGGGGACCGGGATGGGGAATACATGTAAATCCATGGCTAATTCATTTCAATGTATGACAAAAACTACTGTAATGATGTAAAGTAATTAGCCTCCAACTAATAAAAATAAATGGAAAAAAAAAAAGCCTTGCTTGGAAAAATAAAAGAATAGTAAATTATTCCTAATACATGTCACTATGCTGAATTTTAATAAGCTCATGACAGCAGCTGGCTATCATGATCACTGGTGATATCTACAGCCCTTCAATGAATCCTTACTACAGACCAGGTACCATGCTAAATGCTCGACACACAGTCTCATGTAATCCTCATGACATGTTACCTCCTTTCCAGATGAGGGGACTAGAGTTGAGAGAGCTGAAAAGGACTTCCCCTGAAACTGATGAGGCTGAGTTTCAGGCCTCCTACCTGAACAGATCTCTGAGAGCTGGGGGAGATGGGGGTGCAGGGCGGGGCTGGGGGGCGGCGGCAAGGGAGGCTGCAGTCAGAAGCACTTCCATTAAGCAATTCTGGTAACTGCCTAGAGATCTCACAAAAAAGGGATCCTCTTTACCAAGTCCTCAGTGAGTTGTTACAATATTTATCACGCTAAATGTTCAGTTTGGGATCTAATTTTGTGAGATGCTTCTTTTCTTTAAAAGAGGGTCCTTAAGTTTATGAGCTTCAGTCCCCCAAACCTAGATTTGATGCTCAAAAGAGGTGTGTTCGGTTTTACTTTTAACTTCTATTCCACATTGTATCCTTGCTAGATTGATTTTAGTGACACAAAATCCATTCACTTTACAGGAATGGAGAGAATCCTCAAATTGAAAGGCTCATGGTAGCTTGGAATTAGACTGTCTAGCCTCCTACATTTAGTAAGGCATAAGGGTTTGGTGAAGTCTTAATGGGCTTCATCAATACAAGTTTTAAAAGTCTTGCAAGTAACCTTCCTCTTACAGTGAGTAGTGGTTTGATGTCTCTTTTATAATCTATGAATCTCCTAGAAAAGTGGTAAATTGGCAATATATTTCTGTGCTCTGTTTGAACCTTTGATTTGCAAGAGTGATTTCAACATAATTTTCCCTTTGCAGAGCATGACTGCTGAAGCAAAACAAAACCCAAAGATAAACAGCCTTCATAGGTTTGACCACGATAGATTTTCCAAAGCAAAGAATAAAACATCAAAATGTCCGCTCAGTGGTTCCTTGTCCTTAAGAATCCTGGGGAGAATCAGATCATCTGAAATAGAAACTCTGCTATTTTTACACCCAATTGCAAACTGGGAAGTTGCCAGGCTTTGGTCTCAGCAATGAGTCTTCCCAGGAACTGGGTCTAGAATTTATTTATACTTTACACTTTGGAGAAAGGTACACTCTGAGTCATTTCAGCTTTTGGTACTTTTCCTTTTTTTGAAGAACCTTTGAAATTACTTTTTGATATTTCTGGTCTCCTCCATCTAGAAAGAGAAGGTGGCAGAGGAATGAAACTGGCAAGAACCTCACTTGGTGGGGCTTCACTAGTATTAATGAATGGACAATAGGACGCATGGGCTAGTGAACAGTGCCACATTATGCTTGATGGCAATTCAGATCGATGGCTGGCGCTCCCCCAAAACGGCAGCTGGGTGCAGGCACTTCAGATCTAACTTAAAATCCATCTCCTGGGCAGTAGACAATGCCAAAAGATAACACTGTGCACCACCTTTTCAAATTACCTTATGTTGTCTAACGCAGGACTCCAGCAACATGATGTGGACACACACTCCCTTCACACAGAGGTCACTGAGCTATCACAGAAGTCTTAGCAAACCTTCTCTTGGCCACTAACATCTTCCCTTCATACGGCCCATTCTTTTTTTTTCATGGATGAACAAGAGAAAGGCTTAACAGAAATATTATTGTGCATCACTGAGAACAAGGGCCTCTTCCCAGGATCCAGTATATTCTTTTTTTGTTTGTTTTTTGCCATGGTGCACGTGATCTTAGTTCCCTGACCAGGGATCAAATCCCGGCCCTGGGCCCCCCTGCGGTGGAATCATGGAGTCTTAACCACTAGACTGCTAGGGAAGTCCCTCCAATAAATTCTTGTATGTTGTACACACACACACACACCACAGGGGACATGAAAACAACTTGCATCAGAAGCATTTATTCACATTCAATCACCAGCAACACTAAAGCACTTTCACTACTGGTAGAATTCCAGATGGCTTTATAAACTAGTAGGTTCTCTGAAAATTGCTGCAAGGGACAAGGTTGAACCCTCTGTTTCCAATGAAGCTGATGGAGTAGAGGTTACAATGTGGACTAGTTTTACTGGGGGTGGGGATGACTAACAGAAGGAAAGTGAATAAGGCTGTGTCTGAGGGAAGGCAGCAGTCATTGTGATGTGAATCTAATCTCCTTGCCCTGCGCCAGTAACTTGTTTCTGGTTTCTATTAATACGGGCTGTTAGGAGTCACAGCAGCCGGGATGAAGCCAGGCGGGCGCTGCCAGGCAGCTTCTCTGTCTCCTGTGTCTCCATTTCACAAAGTGCAGGGATTGCATCAGTAAAAGTGTGTGGGAAACGAGGCACAGCCTGGATCCAGGGAAGCCTTCCTGCGACCCGGTTCACTTTAGGGAAGGGACAGGCAGAGGTCTTCGTTGTTGTTATTTGATTGTAGCCTCCAATCAATTCAGAGAAGCAGAAAGGAGACTGAACAGGCTAGCTCAAAAGGCAGAGAGAAAATGGCTTAAACGTTAAATTAATACAATGAACTAAATGTCAATTACCTTTTGAAATTAAACAAGTAGGCAGGTTGAAATACCTACTTCACCAACTGGCGTGTACTAGCGGTTGCAAATTAATGAAACAGCTTGTGGTTCTTAAATAGCAATAAGGGAGCTTCCAAGACTCAAAATTATAAACAATTCCAACAAAAATAAATAAACAAGTAAGTCCTCTTTGCTCAGTTCCACAAACTTACTGAGCACCTGCTCTGGGCGTTTATGGGTTACTCTGTGTCCTAATTTTAGTTTTAGTTTCAGGCATTGTTTGATCTTTGGGAACTTTTCACATCTAAATTTGGGGGCTGCCTCTCTTTGGTATAAACAATTGAAAATTCACAGTTACGTAAGGTGGTGGATTTCTTCATTAAGGAGGCCACAAGCAGGGCTCCCTTTGTGACCTTTCTTATTTTAATTCCTTTAGGATGAGGTTAAGATTTTCCGTTTCCTGGAACAGATTCACTGTATGAAGATCATTCATTTATTCATAAATAAAATTTAATGAACACCTAAGTATATACAAGAGCTCCATATTTGCCTTTTACAAGATTTCTGTAAGACTCAATGAGAAATTTATGACTCCACTTTTTAAAAAAAGTAAATTTGCTATATATAGAGAAATGCTATTTTTATTACATACCTGAATGAGTCACAAATACATTCAACTGCTCCAAATATAGCAAGATAGAATTATCTGGGTCTCTTTTCTTAAAGTTGTAAGAGCAGCTACCACTTAGTGCCATTGGTATGCTTTGTAACATTCCACTTAATCCCTACAATAACCTTAGGAGGTGGGATTCTCTGCCTCCTAGAAAGATGAGACATGAGGTAAGTGATGAAGGTCCTGTATTCAGATAGAACTGGGCTTTGGAGTCAGACCTATTTGTGAACTCATTCTATCCTATAATGCACATTCATTTTTAGAGATGATGTGCTTCAATTGTATTAGAGTCAAGCCACATTTACATTAGGAAAAATCAAGCAGTTTCAAGACTGCCAAGCAGAATCACAACTTCTCGATCACGGAGCTGTCTGTGTGAACAGCAGCGGTGGCTCTGGGCTATGCCACGGCTCACCCTGGAGCAGGCTGGGCTGCTCTCACCTGCATAGCCTAATGTGATTTCTGCCATGGGTCTTAACCATGTGGTTTTTCTATCTTTTCCCTTATCCTGTCACTTCTCTCTGATGTTCTCGTGCCTGTAATGTGTTGGGGACTAATACACCAAATAACTAGAGCAGCAGTTCTCAAAGTTGTGTTCACCACCCACCTTGTGAGCTAGTTTAAATGCAGATTCTTGGGTCCCATTCATTCCCAGATGTTCTGATTCAGCAGCTTTGGGAAAGTGAGGCCCAAGAACTGATGCCCTAGGAGTAAAGAACACATACTTTGTGACTGTAAGAAATGTATTCTCTAAGTAGCCTCTGTATTTGTCAACTTTCTGATGTGCATCTCAGGCCTGGCTAGCTGGGATTCCTGGAGATACACCCACGGCAGAAACCTGCCATGGCTATGTAATTGCAGTAACCGAACTTCATTTTTTTTTCACTTACTGTAAAAATGCTAGGCTTATTCAATAAAACAGTGACGAAAGAGCCTAAAAGTACCACAAAAATGCCCCCTCATCCCTAAAACCTCGCTTTAGTCTGCTGAAACTCCAGGTTTCTTTTTCCTTAAAGGGCATGGGTGTGAGTCCTGGTGCCTGGCCCAGTACCTGACTCCTGACAAACCCCTACCCCGTGTGAGCCCCAGTTCTGCCCTCATCTGTGAAGTGGGGAGAGTGCTGCCTACTTCTAAGAGGTGTGGGAGCTTCTGAGAGATGTATATGCAAAGTTCCTGGTCGACATGTGGTCATACTTTAACAATGAACTTTTCACAGGAATTCTAGCTGTAACTACCACACAGGAGTCTGGTGGCTCTGTGAGGGGCCAGGTTTCACGTGTGTTCACCCCCGTGCACTCTGCTCTTTCATCTGTTAGAGACAAACCCTAAATATTGATAATGAAGTATTACCACCTCAGTAGAAGAAACAGGCATACTAACATGAAAAAACACATTTTATTGCACTTAAGTTATAAGAAAATAAAATTTCTAAGTGAATCAAACCATAGACACAATCCCTTTAAAGGTTGTTTTCCTCCATCATGTCAGGTTGTTACATAACTAAAATTAACCACTTGAATCTGATTGTTTTAAATCAGACTATAAATAAAACAAACAAAAAATAAACAGGAGGAGGAAAAAAAAAGATCACTAGGATACAGTGTTAAACCACTTTCACAGTTCAGCTTGAGTTGTGGCTCCTGGAAAATGAGGCAAACCATTTGACTTTTCCATTCATTTCGCTTGTTTGCACGTGACGCCTTTACTACAAAAACTGGATGGTTTCTGCTTTGTCAGTTACTCAGAGCAATAAAACTGTAACAGTTGTTTTCCCAAATACTGTAAAACACTAAGACTGACCAGCAACTTTATTTTAATTTTGTGTTTTATATATTTTTAAAATATTTTGTCAGTTTTACTATGTACGTTCATCCATTCACCACAGCCCTCAAAAAGAAAAGTTTCTCCGCAGAACAGGCGGCAACAGCTCTGTTCCAAGGAATGTGTTTTAATTTTTGCCCAGATAAAAGAAAATAAGCTTTGCACACACTCTCGATTCTTTACTTGCAGGCAAACGTCACTCTTTATTTCCTGAAACTCTCCCATGCTCAGCCTCTTAGAGGCACAGATGGCTCAAGTTTCAGCGGCAAAAAGTCTTTTTTTTTTTTTTTCCGTAACCAAACTAGAGCAAATTTGGAATTCAGTCTGGGACTAAAACGTCACAGCAGAAAAAAAATAAAAAAAAATAATTTGCTTTTTTTCTTTCTCTCACTTAGCAGCATAAGTAAGTTTGGCCACTGGGGGTACAGTACAGGGTGGGACACGACCCCGTCGTTGAAGACCTACCTCTAGCACCAGCATCAAGAGTTAAATCCATCTCGGGGCTCACAGAACCCAGGACAACTGGCCACCTTTGAGCAACACAGGCATTCAAGAGTGCACGTGGAAGCGACAGGCAGAGAGTAACAGAGGCTAATACTGTGACTGATTGACATTGGCAATGGTTTGGCAAAAAAAAAAAAAGAAAGCTTTTCATGATAACTATACAAAAACAATTCACAGTAATTTTTTTCCTTTTTAGCTTTTCCACTCCAGAAAAATAACTTTTTTTGTTTCAGATGCTCTCGGTGAGACAGTCCACCGGTACTGTGTGGGTGTTATTGCAGCTTCTTTCTAGGTCTCAGTGGTAAGAGAACAGGCCAGCGAATCTGTAACGACGTCTCAGCAGTAACGCTGCCCAGCGACCACTGGAGAAGAAAATAAAGAAATAATTGCACCTGGTTTGATTTCGAAAGTCTCGTGTTGCAAAGCTGCCCTCAGTCCAAAGTGAAGCCTCTTCCGGGAAGAGCCGGCAGGCGCCTCTCTTGTCAGTTGCGGTTTGTCATCGCTTCCTCTTTTCCTTCTGCGTCTGTAGGTCTTTTCGCTCTGTTGCCCCAAGCCAACATCCTGCACCACTGAGAACAAGGGATATTTTTTCTTTTTTCTTTTTTTTTCTTTTGCAGGGGGAAGGGCAGGGAGTCTGTCGCCTACGAGTGGGGACGACGCCCCCTTTCCTGCTCTTCACTTCATGTCCACATCAAAATCCAGCACCAGCAGCTTGGTTTCCTCCGTCCCGTTGCGACTCCCGACGGCACACACCAGCTTTGTGTTCGAGGCTCTGATCCGCCACACAACTCCCCCGCTCCCCCCACTCTCCAATGTGACTAGGTTGCGAATAAATTCACCCGTTTTCAAGTCCCACAGTTTTACAGTTCCATCATCTGAGCTGGTAATGACAAAGTTCTTGTTGAACTGTAAACAGGTCACAGCGCTCTGATGCTTGTTGGGACCTAGGCAAAACCAAGGAATCTCATTACTGGTTAGAAACCATGGTTTCGGGTCAGCTAGATTGTAATTTGTGGAATCTGCATTGGAACACACAATAAATGAAATATTTAAAACACTGCACATTTAGAAACTGCGTTCTGAGTATTTTAGAATCAGCAGGGATGTAGGAAAATCTGGTAGCTACTTGTAACTGAAACGTTAGTCTTTGAGGGTTCTGTCTCTTAGGAAGCATGGTTCACCACCAGGCACACGTCGTGTGTTCTGGTTGTGCTGAAGAAGACCATCAACTCTACTACCCTACCACTCTGAACTGACCAATTAGGGGCAAAAGGCTGAATGAACCCTATTCCAAAACTCTGAAAAAGAGACAAAATTTGTCAATGAGAAAAATGCAGTACCACCTACCAGATGGCCTCACTGAAAACTAACGCTTTCTAAGGGCTCTGACCAATAAAAAGCAGTTAGTCACGACAGAAGAAGTTAACAGCGTCGTGCCTCATTTAGTGCTAGTGGCTTTCAGATGTTTCCCCCTCTAGTTGAGTGGGCACCGTGATGCCCTCCCATCCTACTTAAGCAGATGGTTAAGGGTCTAAGTCAAGGCCAAAGCAATTTCCTATCAGATTAAAGAGGCTTCTCCCCCCGTCCCCTCCAGTAAGGCAGCTCTTTAATTTAAAATTGGACTACAAATTCAAAATAAATGATCACTCAACAAATAAAACGAGCATGCTGCTTCTGTGATACAGCTAAGATCTCTCTTCACATTGTTCTTTCAGGTTAGGTAGAGTTAACCATACATGTAGGAAGTGATTAAATACTTTTATATTAAAAACACAATTTAAAACACTTTCTTAGGGCAGCCAAGTTCTGTCAGTTCAGAGTGGAAATGCTCATAAACTTATCCAAAAATCAGTTTTCATTTTGTATGAGGTTAATCATTCTGTGACACAAAAGTTCCACATTTCTCTTTTGACCAACTCTCTTATTTCTAAGAAATGCAACTAAAGGTGGGTAGCCAGTATTACCTTGCAATGTTTGTAAACACTGTCCTGTTTTGATATCCCAGATTTTAACTGTAGAATCTGCATTCCCAGAGACAAGAATGTTGTCTTTAAGTTCCATTCCACTTGTTAACGACTGGTGTCCTGTTAACGTGTGAATGCAGTTCCCTGTCTCCACATCCCAAACGCGGATTGATGTATCAAGAGATCCACTCACCACATGGATGCCATCAAACTACAACAGACACAGTTTATTAGACTACAAGTGTAGATATTCTTGATATTATCTATTTACCTTAATCCTAAAAAGGGAGGGGAGCAAAGCATGAGAAACAGATAATGCCAGGAACAAAATGAGGTACCAGGATAAACTGCATGCAACCAAGCAACTCTCCAGTACATGTTCTCAGAAGCTTCTATCAGAAATGTGAATTTTTTATGAGCAGTGGCTTCAAACTAGATGCAGAAACAATTTTTAAAGAAGCACAATGAACGTATTATTGTCAGACCATCTGGTCACTCTCAGTAGCTACATATTATGAATGATTCGATATGGACTGCCATTTGAGTTTTACTTCCCAACAGGAAGTTGAAACTACTGATGTGGTTTATGATACAGGGTGCGCTTATCCACATCTATGGCACGAAAAGAGCTAGAGATAACTTTCATGATACTTCAAAGTAAGTTCCATTAAACTGTATGTAAAATAAAAATTTCATTTACAGGAACCTAATGCTAGTTAGGAAATGTGCCAACAGATAATTAGTCTAGAATTAGAAGTGGTGGCATTATGATAACAAAAGCAAACTATCTATAGCACCTCTTCTCCAACTTCCCAGCTAGACCAAAAGTCAACAAATATCTACCAATTCCCAGACTGATAATAAAGTTCCTACCTATTTTCTCAATCTAAGGGTTTATTTAAATGAGGTTATTATATTCATTAAGGTTCTGAACATATCACAAAACATACAGACAACCATAGCCAGTTCCCTCTCCTCCAAATTAATAACCTTTTCTAAGTTAACAGACATCTTTATTTTATGTCAATATTTCACGACATAGACATAATCCCATGAAGAAACAAATACTCCAAGGACAGAACTGTGAGCCCTAGGCCCATGTACTAATTTGCTGATCACTAGTGGGCAGTAATTGGTAAACAAGCTACATAAGTATTAATAATAGGAAATACAGCTGACCCTAGCATAACATGGGTTTGAACTGGGAGGGTCCACTACACTTACAAATATCTTTCACTCGATACCTACTATGTTACTACACAGTCCCAGGTTGGCTGGACTCTTGGATGTGGAACTGCAGACATTGAGGGCCAACTGTAAAGCTATGCGAGGATTTTTGACTGGAGTGGTGGTGGGGGGTGGTGCCTCTGACTTCTACATTGTTCAAGAGTCAACTGTATTTTTTAATTGAAAATGCTGTCTTTCAGGAAACAAAACAAGATGTATTTTTTAAACCTTCTAATAATCGAGTTGTTTATGTCAAAATGTGGCAGTCTATTCTAGGATATCAGGCTCAAACAAAAACAAATCAAAAATGTTTAAGACAAACTTCCTCCTTATGACCACAACCCGGCAGCCCTGTGAGTGCAGAGCAGCTTTGTGCAGAAGCCCCACTCCCACTGTGAATGGGGACAGAATCACAATTACGTGCTCCATCGACCTCCAGCTATCAAGGCAAAGGGGCAGCTTCCAGCCAAATTAATCCTGTGCTAAGGAGTTTATTAAAGTCCAGGTTATTTTCCTCATGAGAGTATCTCCCCATTAACTAACACAGGAAAACTTAGGGCCCCCAAATCTCAGGTTCCAAGACCAATATTTGTATTTTAGAGGAAAATGAATCACAGAAAAATGGAAACAAATCATTTAAATAATTTCAAAATGCATGCTTTCTTCGTGCCAATTTTAAAGTAAATGTAAACAGCAGAATAATTCATCTGTTTCCGGGCTGTACTGGATCAGTAATTTGGCGATTACTGAATGAGACAGTATCATGACTCATTACGAGAGCACCGCAGGAGCTAGAGCGCTCGGTCTCTTACCTGCAGTGAGTAGACCCTGTTGGTGTGGCCCTGCAGCGTGTGCAGACAAGTCTCTGTCTCTGGGTCCCACACCTTCACCATGAAGTCATACGCTCCACTCACAACCCTCCTGCCATCATACTGAACACAGCGGACTGCTGCTACATGACCCATCAACACATGTAAACACTGGCCTGTCTCAATATCCCAAACCCTAAGGGTGGCATCTCGAGAACCGCTAACAACTCTGTGGGTATAACAGAAAAAAATTTATGAGAATTTAAAATCATGGGAAAACAATACATAAAAAGTCAGTGGTCATTAAAACTTTTCTTTTTCTTAAGCAGAAACCCCCTGTTTTCAAAATAAATACATGCTATGTCAAACCTCAGTATATAAACACATGAAAGCTGAGTTACTTTGTTTGGGATGGGAAGTTGGAAAGCCTTGAATTCTGCCTGTTTGGTTCCCCCACCTATGAGGAACCGAGAAGCACCTTGGCGTCCTGCGGTTTGAAAACTACTGTATTATAGTTAGATACAACGAAGATGAAGCACAGGAAGATGAAGACAAAAAATTAGCAGAACATGTGGCGAGTTCTAAATACATACAACAAGATCTTGATTTTAGAAATAAGATGCCAGTGTGGGTAGTATGTATAAAATGTTAATAGGTGGTAGTATTAATATTTTGAAAACTTAATATTTTTTCTTTATTCTTTCTCCCATTTCCCCAAATTTTAATATGAACACACATTCCCTTTATGACTAGGGAAAAAATTCAATAGAAGTGTCTCAACAAAACAAGCCAGAATTTGGAATTTAAACTGCTAAAGATATGTGCTTTATACCATATACTCTGGTTAAATTAACCAGTTTTAAATATGTCCTCAAACAAAGGTTGCTTATGCATTTTAAAATATTCAATAGGCTACGAGGGCATTAAGATACACAGATTTTAGAAGATACACATGTAGAAGCAACAGAAATCCCTTAAAATTTTGACCCAAGATTATTAAAGTGATACTGTTCCGAAAACAAGAGTGATACAAATACTGTAATCACCTTTGGATTACAAAGGAGAGTTGAAAACTCAGGTGTCTTTAATGTTATTCCTAAGAGAGAAAGAAAGTCCACTTTCCATGTTTGGAAGAGTAGAAAATGGAAGCACTGAGGCATTTAAGTCAGAATATACTGAAAACTGAAATGCAAGGTCTCTTGACACCAACTCCCCCAATTTTAATAGTGGAGCACACTGTTCAAAGTAGATGCAAATTACAAGTGAAAAAGGCACTTTTCTTCATGTATTACAAACCTAGAGTGAAATAAGTTTAATGTAATGGTTCTTAATAAAGAATGCCACGGACAGAATGAACAGTAAAAACTGGAGTGGATTCACTGTAAGGACCCTTCAGAGAGACTTTTTATGACAAAATAGGTAGAAATTACATCTGTTTAACAGGAGTACCATGAAGACACGCCAATGGAAAACAAAAAGGACTTTTAATAGGAGGGCTCTGTAGCAGGAAATAAAAGCAACAGCAAAGATACTGAGAAGAAAAAGGTTAGCAGTCCAGTTTGGCTGAAGCTATTATTCTGAAAACTGGATTTCTTCCTTAATTTAGTGTGCAACAGAAGGCTCCCAAAAGCTCGTGGTCCTACCATAATCAGAGGAGGTTCTCTGCCAGCTGTGCGCAAGGTGACCCAATATGAAAGCTCAGTCACCAGTTCAGGTGACAGGTAATGACAATAAGTTAAAACCCACAGCCTCACTCAGCTTTTGTCTGGACATAGGGGAGACAATAAAGGGGGAGGGGTGGTGGGTGGATAACTACAGAGACTAGAGGCTTGAAGCCTGATAACTGAATTTGTCCTCCCAACAAAAATATATCCTCCCACCCCAAATACTTTTAACATGATGAGTCATCAAAGATTTAGAACAATAAAGTCTAAGGTATTAGTCAAGATCACAGAACAAGGCGTTTCAAAGTGGAAGCCAACACCACCATTGAAGGAGGAAGGAGACTTAACGACAACTGCCCGATTTTAAGGCAATACCCCACTGCTTTCCTAGCAGAGAAACATCTGAAGCTGAATAATTAAAGTCTAATTTAAAAGCACATTAGCACTCACCCTCTACTAGACACAGTAAGTATTATACAACCGAACTCTGCACAACAGGCCCCAAGTTCACAAGTAACAGAGGAAGAATTCCCAAGTTCTACAGGATTTCCCCTACCTTTTTTCATGGAGATGCATACAACGCACAGTGGAAGTATGACCATATAAGGTGTGTATACATTCTCCCGTCTCTGCATTCCACACTTTGAGAGTCCGATCTGTGGATCCACTAATGATGATATTGTCTCTCATCTGTGATGACCATACTCCACCTGTGTGTCCCACTAATGTCCTCAGACACTGCAAAAACACTTAAGATGATTACTTTGAGGTAGAAAGAAAAACAATGTAAATAACATTTCAGTAGCTCATTAAAATCTGGATTAAAGTTATTTACTCAATTGGAATGTCTAGCATATCAGAAAATAATTTTTACACCAATATAACAAGATACCATCACTATTTTGTTTGCTTTGTTTATTTGGCAGCACTGCATTTTATACACACTCACATAATTTAGGAGCACAGATGTAGAAAGTAAACCTTTCTGGCTAAAGTATGACAGCTCTGGCCTGGCCTCTTTGATAATAATACTAAAATTGCAACTTGGTTTCTTCCATGGGAATGGATTCAATGAAAGAATGCCAAGAGGATTGGGTGTGGCTACATACCACATTTCATCTGAATCTGCCCCCAGGCAGTAGTTAGGAGCCAGGCAAGGTACTTCTAGACAAGTAAAGACAGACATTAAAACTCTGAAATAAATCCAAGACTAATATTACACTATGGAAATATGAAACTGTTTTTAAAAACTGTAACATCTGACTTGGAATATTTAGAAGATTTTTGTCCATGAATCAACATTTTAAAACATAGATTTTCCCCCTACCAACACTTTCTTCTGTTATTTTTTAGGTGGTCAATTACTTAATTCACAAAAATATTTTCCATTGGACAGATAAAAGTATTCAGAAGAGAATCTTTAAAGAATAACATTATGTGCAGTGAGCCTGGGCTGCTTTGTTTTCTTCAAACTCATTTAACTAAATAGCCCGCTTTAACTTCTACCTTATAGGGTTTGAGATAAATCAAAATTAACATGATTTATTTAACTTTTAAACTATAGTTAGGTTATCAACAAAATTTAAAAGGAAAAATACCCCTCAATCATATTTTTGAAAAAAATTAAAAAAGGAGATATAACTTAGATGGTTAATGAAAGTGGGAAAAATTAGGCCAAAAAAAAAAAAAAACCCCACACCACCACATCTGTAAAATCTTAACCTAAGTTACAAAGATAGACCAACTATTCAAATGAAGAAGAAACTAATGACATCCCTACCATGAGAAACATCATTTTCATGCCAAGGAAAAAGCTAAATTAGAAGCTCTTATACTTGCTATCAAACTAAGCTAGAGTCAAAAATGAATCTTTGCTTTCATCTCACTGGTTGATCCTTGCAAAGATATGTACCAAATAGTGACTTTATGAAGTGTAGAAAGAAGTAAACTTACTTTGCCTGTGACTGCTGACCAAACTTTTAAAGTGTTGTCATCAGAACCACTAACTATTCGGTTACCACAAAACTGTAAGCACGTGATCACATGGTCATCATGTCCTTTCAGCACCTACAACATAGATGTGCAGATGAGAAATATGTTAAATCCTGGTGAAAAGAAAACGGAGGCCATAAATAGCAACAGGAATGCATAGTCTACTTCTAGAATAAAAATTTATATAAAATATGAAGTATCCTTCGTGGTAGATGAATCATATTAAACATTTTATTGTTTCCATATTCTACTACCTATACATGAGACATCAACTACTAAAATCAATCAAAACCTCATAAAGATGGTTTGAACACACATGTCTTTTATACCGTCTATTTTATCTTTTCAAACCAAAAGAATATGCACTTCAGCCGTGCAATTTTGACACACAAAAACAAAAGCACCTACTAAGCAGAAAGACAATACTCACCAACCTTTTCAATTTAACAAAAAAGTCTGTCATAACATGTATGTATTAAGACAAAATGTCTCCCCAAATCGCTTTTAATTCAGTTAAAAAAATACAGCCAAGAATTTCAAGCATTTTTGCCATTCTTTACATACTTGAAATGTTATAAGGCAGAAAATCAGAATTAGGCTTAAATTTATAAAATTAAAACACACAAAAGCTACCAAACAAGCCCCCCAAACATGGGCATTCCTCAAAAAATCGTGCTTGGTCAGACAGGGAACAAACTTTTAGGTATGACACAAAATTCAACAGAATATTCAGAAATTTTCATTTACATGCAATAGATAGAACAGGTGAATCAACTCATCTTTTATTCAAGTACAATTAGTCATCAATTTTATTCAACTACATAGTACAGTTAGTTGTCAGACTAGAGAAAAATTAGTAATGAGGAACACTGTCAGTTACATTTTCTGTTGTTTTAGAAACACACTGTTTTCCTGCTAAAGAAGACAGGCTGTCCACTCCCACCACGGGCCGGCAGCAAGCACCCTGCGTGCTAGTAACACCGATGAATGCCCGGGTATGGAGGGCGCCCTGCTCGGTTACCTTAGGAGACTTGAGCTCTCCCCGCCGCCAGTTAGTATCGATCCTGTGCTGTCTGATGTACGCGCTTTTCCACGGACTATGTATGAAACCTGGTTTTATTACTTTTCTTCTCTTGATGTGCAATGGTTCATCAATACCTAAAATTTGGAACATTTAAAGAGTATAGCTGCCTTTACCAATAATACAAATTACACATTTTCTAATGTATCTTATCTTCTCCAATGCTCAAAACCACCGAAATGCAGAACACTGTTATGACAAAACAATCATGTAAATTTTGCATTCTGTATGGCATGGTGTATATTGACTATTTAATTTCTCTCTTAGAATAATTCTATAAAATGTTGGTGAGGATGTGCATAAATTGGAACCCTTGGGCAATGCTTGTGGGAATGTAAAATGATGTAGCTGCTATGGAGAACAGTATAGCGATTCTTCAAAATAAACATAAAATTGTGACATGACCCAGCAATTTCACCCTGGATACAACACCCAAAAGAACTGGAAGTAGGGACTTGAATAGTTATTTGTCTACCCACGTTCCCACCATCATTCTTTATAACAGCCAAGAGGTGGAAGCAACCCAGTGACCACTGATGGATAAATGGAGAAAAAAAGTGGTATATACATACAATGGAATGTTTAGCCTTAAGAAAGGAGGAAATTCTGACACATTTGGACAAATCTTTAAGACATTATGCTAAGTGAAATAAGACAGTCACAAAAAGACAACTATTGTATGATTATATTTACATGAGGTCCCTAGAGCAGTCAAATGCATACAGACAGAAAACAAAATGGTGGTTTCCAGGGCTGTGAAGAGGAGGAATAAAGAGTTACTGTTTAATGCATACGGAGCTGCAGCCGGAGATGATGATCAAGTTCTGGCGATGGATGGTTGCGATGGCTGCATGACCAACTGCAATGTCAATGTACTTAATGCCACTGCAATGTACACTTGAAAACGGTGAAAGTGATAAATTCTATTTTATGCATAAATTATCACAATTTTTAAAAAGGTCATTAAAACAATGATTCTATGAGAGAAAGTAAAGCAAGCATAATTAATCCTACTTTATGATGACTTGAGAAGGAAGGGTTTCCTGATCAGTCCAAGCCACAGACAGGGCAGAGGCAGGATGAAGAACCAAGGATTCTGGATCTTCACCTCCCAGCTTTACTAACCATCAATGCTGCCCAATCCACTATGATCTCCATGAGGTGCAAGAGAACAGGCAGCGCATCTGTCTTACCCTCTATGATTCTTTCTTAAAAAGTTTGCTTGTTGAAGGCAAATAATATTTTAGCATAGTTTTTTTCAAAAATAATATTTTTCTAGATGCCTGCTGGAAAAAACGTGCTCTTTCTTGAATTAATATGCATGATACCTACTCCATTAGTAAGAAAGGGGATTTGTTTTTTTTGTTAACAAGTCTCAGAACACAAGCTCCATGGTGAGGAGATTATGAGAGTGATCTAGCACATAGGAGGTGTTTAATAAATATTTGTGGAAGAAATGAATAGACTATAATTTGAGTACGTAATCGCTAATTTGGGGGTTATATTGTCTTCATCTTGACTTTCTCACTGTTTATTAATTCTACTGGAGACTAGGAAGCAAATCAGATATATTCACTGTTAGTTACAGTGCTCATTAAAGGGGCTAGTGCCAAGATCTGGCTCATCTGAACATGTGGAATAACCTGTGGATTTAATGTATGTAGGTGAATGTAAATGAAGATGCAGTCTTGATTCCTTGTTAGGCTGCCAAAGTTGTTTTTTAAATTGATCCACCACTTTATCCTACAAGCACATAAAACTTACTATTTTTTTGTTGTGTTTTGTTTTCAGAATCACTCTGCTTTTTCAAACCACAAACATTTTCTCTCTGTGATTGTGAACCTTACCCTCTTCTTTGCATTTTTCTCTCCAGAGAAGGTTGTCTTCAGCCAAAATTCTCCAGTAGCGGCAAGTCTGAGCCGCCTGTAGCAGGTCTTTGGGTTCCAGGAATGAAAGCACATAAAGTGCCAGCTATGAAAAGAAAAAGCATAGCATACCAAGCATCTCTTTTTAATCAGAAAATATTCTCTATAGGATAAAGTGCTTATAGATAAATGTAAGATAATTTTACATTCTAATTACTAGTATTATGGAAAGGCAGTACCTTCTAATATTCAATTTTAACAAATACACACAAGATTTAAAAATATCCTATTGGTTTTTATGAACTTGACCCTAGTAACTCCTTACCTCTTCAAGGAATACTTATTAAACCCATCAGCCTTTTCTCCTGCTTTTGCTGTGAGCCCTGATTCAAGAATTTTATCAAATCTATTTATATATTTTTTTACTTTATTAGTTCTTTAAGTGTTAACTTTTTCTGTCCTTACTAAAATATAATTTCATTTAAGAAATGAGATTCTTATATGATCTATGTGGCATGATTTCAGAATCCTTTGAAATGACATAATTCATAGTTCTTTATCATATCAAAGTGTTTATATCAGAATGATGAACTTTTCAAACATTTACATCCTTTACTTGTAAATCACAAAGGCTTATAAAAGTGATTGGGTTCTAATTCCTTTATACGGCTTATGGGGACTTTCTTGATGGGCCAAATAGGGTTGTGTATTTGAGCGAGGTCTTTGACATATCACTGATTTAAAACGTTTGTTTATAATACTTGCAAACCATCAATTTATTTCCATTGTGTAAAGTCAAGTCAAATAAATAAAAGAGCAGGAAAAGGGGAATGACAGCTTCTCTATGCTCATTCAATTAGCCTCACAAATCACATAAAAATTCAAATTACGATATTAGGACAGAATGAACTAAACAGAGCAAAAAAGCTGGCTTTTCATGTAACCTAACTTATAGGTTAAGACAAAATATCATTTAAAGGGCCTAGGCTCATATAGGGAGTAAAAGCATATTCTGAATGATTTTTTCATGTTAAAGAGGAATTACATAAAGTAAATTATGCTTTCCCAATGACTTTTCATATGTAGAGTTCATCATTAATCACATATTTCTTGAGTACATTCTTTTATAGAAAGTATTTCAACCAGCAGTATTCAATTTAATACTCCTATTGGCAAATGACAGTGAAAAAATTTTTGTAGAATAATATTTTTGGTCTATCAGAAAAGACCATTCAGTATTATATATGGAAACTCATTTAAAATAAAAAGGCATAACTATATTCAACAATCTATCTCTCTCTATATATATATGTGCATTCATATATACATATACACATATACAAATACACACATATATAACTTGACAATATATTTTTAATGGATACTCTATAGACCACTTAATTTTGAAATTATCAATCAATCAAAGCCTACGCAAGTTTCTTCAGTTCAGTTGCTCAGCTGTGTCTGACTCTTTGTGACCCCATGAATCGCAGCACGTCAGGCCTCCTTTAGTATCAGTCTAATATCATACTATTAGTCTTCTATGTGAAATTGATATTTAACATAGAAATTATCAGGTACAAAGTTATATTTGTGGAAAAGAAACGCTACTTAATGCTCAAGATATTTAGAAGAGTCAAATGAAAAAGTCTATTCTTTAGTTATCCAGTTGAAGCTGAAAACAGGCCATTTACAGAAACATTCAATGGATCTTAAATGCTAAGAAACAAATCCAGAGTGGCTCAGATTTCAAAGGTTTACCTGCAAACTTAACAGACAAAATTTCCTTTATTACTGGTGATTAAGATATCATCTAGTCCAGTGTCTAAATGCATTAAAAAGAAATGTAAAGAAACACTCAAGTGCTAAAGAAAGTTGAAGTGCTAACTCCATAGGTAACTGGCACCCATTCCTTTTAAAACAGCAAAAGCCCTAACTCAACCATGAACTTCAACTTATTAAATGCTTGTCTATTCCACCAAAACATCCTGATATTGTATAAAATACACATAGCCAAATAGAAAAATATTAATAAGAAGATCAGAATCAGGAAAAATATAAATCAGAAAAGGTTTAAACTATCGGAGAAGAACACAAAATATATTGGCAACAATATTCTATATGGTTTTTTAATTAGGCTGCCAAGCAAAAATAAAACAATAATTAGTTACATCAGTTCCTCAAAGAATACAAGGTTTTGGGCTCCTTATGGGAACAGACAGTGGGCACTGTCCCAAGCCACTTCTCTAAAACCCTGAAGAGGGGGGTTACAGGTTTCTGGGAGCCACATCAAATGGTCTAGTGAATGTAATTTTCTATTCATTTGTATTAAAGGTGAACTCTAAACCAGTAATTCTTCCTAAGGACTAATTCCACACAAGAGAAGCTCTTAAACTGAAGATTTATTTCAGATAATTTTATTTTCCTTGCCCAAACTTGTCATTTCAATTATAGTTGCTAATTTTTGTTTTTCACTATAACTTATATAAAAGACCACCTTGTTATATTTAAAAAGTGGATAATACTTTCTCAGAATTGCTATATTTCAATGAATTAAACTAATCAAAGAAAAAAAAAAAAGAACAAACAAAATGTTGGCAGATTCTATGTTAAGAATTTAGGTTTTGTTGTAGATCATCAACTGTTACCATTATGCTCTTTTTGGCATTTACTTACAAACTAAGGATAACGCCCTTTTTCACAAGTCTCCCATGTGAGACTAGTGAGATATTTTGTCAAGGTTTTTGAGAGTAGTAAGTGTTGGTAAAGAACTTTGAGATCTGTTGAAAGGAATTATAAAAAATTATTATAAGTTCACTTCCTGACATTATTATTATTAAATAATAATAGTACTTAGTCTCCAATAAGATGTTAGTTTCCTTGACAACTTTAGATCTACACCATTATTTCTTTACATATAAAATAAAGTGTTTTTAAAAATAGAAAGTGTTTATTACTCAACATTCTGTGATAAGCCATAATGGAAAATAATATGAAAAAGAATGTGTATGTATGTTTAACTGAGTCACTTTTCTGTGTAACACTAATTAGCACAACAATGTAATTCAACTACACTTCAATAAAAAATAAATTAAAGAGGGCGGGGGGCAGGGGGAGACAGGAGTCATGCTAAGCCAGGCTCACTCATTCTCCTGTCTAGCAAAACTTCTTTGCCCTCAGGCAATCTTCAAATGAACACTTAATCCGAGAAAATCTTTATTGCATGGTTATCAATAAATTATACTTTTTAGATTCTTAGCAATTTTTATAAATCATATGTTTTTGTGTTATGAAGCTACTATGGAAATCCAAATAAACCAAAAAGCTCACAATCTTTAGAGATATGACGACAAACTAGACTCAGAGAAAAGTCTATATTAACAAAAATAAAAAATAGGGAGGATTATCAAGGAAAACTATGAAAGATATATCAAAGGTGAATAAATTCACTTTTGATCAAATACATAAAAAAGAGTTTCCTATTAATAGCACCCTTGTGGAAGTAAAGAGAGCTTATGTCACTTTCATAAGCCAAATCTATCCAAAGGGTTCAGTTTTAGAATGAGCCAGCAAGAATACAAAATTTTTTCCTGGAACAATGTCATTTAAAAAAATCACTCCAAAGTAGAAACATTTCAGGAAAATGATGTTTTTTTCCACTTTGATTTCTCCTGGAGTTACACTTAATTTCATCCATTAACTATGATGAAACCAATTTTATAAATATCCAATGTGAAATTATCATCAGGACTATCTTTAATGCCCTTAGGATATGTAGAATGGTTATCTGAAAAAGAAATCAACTTCCTTTCTCTTCAAATTTGAAGTTTCAGGACTGTTTGCCTTTGTATTTATACTAACATAAATGGTATTTTATATTGTTTTCTTGGCTGATCTATAATTAGCTGATCTATATAAAATTTTTGTGAAAATATAAATCTTGGTAGCATTAATGTTATTTCTGTTTGCTGACAAAAATGAAACTATGATGCCTACAACCTCAATGAAAGAACTACATCTAAACGATGCCTTATTTATGGTCAGGAATACACATGTGATCATAGTCTATTATAAAAAAACAAAGACGCTTTATATTATACAAAGATATTAAAACAAATAGGTATAAGTAATTCTAAAAGAAATGCTCCAAGAAATGTAATTGGTATGGGAAATCTGTGATTTGGCATGTGAGTGTGTGATGGGGTAAAAAGGGAGATGAATAACAGAAGATACACATGTGAAATTTTATATACTTCAAAATAATCACATAATGTAACTCACAGAGAAGTACAATCCAACAGAGTTATGAAACTATTAGTCTTAAAGGGACTCAGGATAAATAAACAACAAAATAAGAAAAAATACCGCTGTTTTAATAAAATCAGAATTAAAAAAATCTACTAATGTAATGAATACACCAAGACAATTAAAGGCTGGACTTCAAATAAGCTGGGAAAAAAATCTTGGTAAAGGAACAATCAAATTAATGAAACTCAATAGCTTAGTCTCATGTATGACTTATTCCAGTGGTGGAGAGAAGATACTTAGTCCGTAAGTATACTTTAATCTGAAAATTATGCTAAACTATGGTAGCTTATCATTTACAGCAACCTTTAACACTAATTAAGTGTTAAACTGACAATACTGAATACTGTAATTAGCAAAACAACTTCTAAAGAGGGTAGCTGTTGATTTATATTTTCAAACAGCACCAATGAAGAATATAATTGATAATCCTTACCTCTTTAGGGAGCAAGGAAATGAAGTCTCGTTGAAACTGGGGTTCTATCACTTGCATCATATGTTTTACCTGGGTTGGTTCACAACTATCAATAAGTTCATCTAAAGCAAGCAATTTCTCTGGTCCACTCCAGCTCTATCAAAGAGGAATCAGAAATTTTTATTATTTTAATAAATGTCTCAAATTATAAGCTCATAAAGGAAAATCAACATCTATACGAAATATAAAAAGTGGCTACTTACAAAAGAAGGCACTGAAGTGATAATCATTTAGCCTCTTCAAATTTCTAGCTATCTTTATTGTGTAAAAGCTTTGAGTTTGACAGAAAAATATTTTTGCATATTATTATAATTGCAATATGTTAATCTACCACCAAGACACTGGTTGAGAAAACAAAATTTTATTCAGAAACATTGGTTTGGGCTATTGAGTAAATAGAGAATTTTGAGAAATGATTTTCCTTTCTTCCCTTCCTTTCCAGTGGGCACCATAAAACTTCATGGTTTTAGTAAGGCGCTCATCGGAGAGCAGACTGGCAGCATCGACTAGAGAAAAATTAACAACTGGCTAGAATGCCCATCTGACACGTGTTTTCCACAAATTAAAAGGGCTTTGATTTGCTATGTGAAAATAATTTCAATAAAAAACAGCAAATAACAGTAAATGGCAGCTGACTTAACAGTAAAATGAGAATATGAAGAAAGGCTAAAATAAAAGAGAATAAGAAATAAAGTATATATTATGGAAAAACAAAAACAATTATACCTCAAAAATATGAGCTCCATTAAACTATACTAAGGGGTTGCCTAATTTTTCTTTCCCCTCAGTGAGGAACACTTCCCCAGAATGTCATGATTCTTAAAAGGAAAAACCAGACAGACATGTGAATCATTTAAAATGTCAGGGCTCTCATGCACAAAAGTCAAAGAAAACATTTAAGTAACTTTGAAACACTTAGATGAAAAAACATCCTTGAGCAAGATGATAGAGTACCTTTATGAATTATTATGTCCATTTTGGAAATGGGAGAAGACAGAACAATATGTGAGGTTTGGAGCTAGAAAAATCTGGATTTTGACATTCCATTTTTTGCTCAAACTAGGAACCTGGATTTTGTAATATGTGAAATAGACAACAGTTGAAAACTGAGATATTCTGAGGTCACTGAAAGCCTTTTTAAAGTATTTCTTAAAATATTTACCCCTTCAGAATCTGCAATGAATCCTCTCTTCTTTCTTTAAGTGTAGACTAAACTAACAACTAGCAAACATTTTAGCAGTGCTTCCACAGTACTACTACATAATAATGTCACAAACATTATCTCACTTATTCATAAAAACCCTGGGGAATATCTCCATTCTTACCTTCAAATATGAGGAAACAGAGGCTGGAATAAGCTGTATTTTTTCCTTTTACCTTGACACACATACCCAGAACATTCTCCTTGAGTACTCACTGTGTATCCTTTTTGGTTAGGGTGAAGATTTATACATAGAAATTAAAAATATCCATATATGTGTACATGCACACACATGACCAATTACAGGGCTTCCCTAGTGGTTCAGCTGGTAAAGAATCCCCCTGTAACGTGGGAGGCCTGGGTTCGATCCCTGGGTTGGGAAGATCCCCCAGAGAAGGGAAAGGCTACCCACTCCAGTATTCTGGCCTGGAGAATTCCACGAACTGCACAGTCCAGGGGTTGCAAAGTGTCGGACACAACTGAGTGACTTTTACTTTCTTGCTTTCATTTGACCAGTTAAAAGTAGTTAATTTGAAATTTATTTCACTCTGTTTTCCTTACACAGCTTCAAATCCTGGCTCAAAACCTACCTCTTTGACAAAACTCACCTCTTTGACAAAACTCATGCTCATCAATTGCCACTCATCTGTACTTAGTACTATACACTGTGTTATTGATTTACATTCCTCACAGGAAGATGTAGGTTCTTATAATATGCTGTTCTTCTCTATCTACATGATAAGGATTCATGGACACTAGTATAAAAACATGCCCCTTTTGGGTAACAGATAACTGCGGACTTGTTCATATACTACACATGCTCAATATTTTTTTTTCAATTGACGTATTATTGCTGTTTGTAAAAAAGGGACAGAAAAGCAGCATCGACACATGGTATATAAGTGCTATGTGTGTGTGTGCATGCTCGTCATGTCCAGCTCTCTGCGCCTCCATGGACTGTAGCCCGCCAGATTCTTCTGTCCATGTAATTTTCCAGGCAAGAATACTGGAGTGGGTTGCCATTTCCTTGAGGGGATCTTCCTGACTCAGGGATTGAACACTCATCTCCTGCAAAGTTCTTTACCACTGAGCCACCAGGGAAGCCTCTAACAGAAAAAATATAAATGTATATCTTTTCAAGGATTTTAGGGGCTGCAGTATACAATGAAAAAGGCTAGAATAGAAGATAAATAACTAATTCAGATCTTAGGTAAATGTTAGAAACTGTGCCACAAATTTAAATATATATTTAAGGCAAAGGCCATGATGAAAATAATGCCCGTACAGCAAAATGCTTCTAAGACTTAAAACAGTATTTTTTTGTTTTAAAATATTTGATAGGTTATATAAAATTTAACTTATATTTCAATTTGAATTAAATATGCATTTGGCAGATGTTACTTTGTGACATTTTACTGAAACATATACTACTAACAAAGAGTTAGTAACATAAGCTGTAAGCTACAAAATAAATGAGACTGTTTTCAAGGACGATACATATTCAACCTTCCAATGACTTAAGTCACATCTCTTAGATAGTTCCAACAAAGGTCTGGACTACATAGGCCCTAGATTTCCTCTCTCCAGCCTGGGTTTCTTCCCTGAATTCCAGACCTGTATATAAAATTGCTTATCCACCATATATTCTTGGGTATGTAACAGAAACTATATCCATGATCTTTCTCTTCAAATATGCAAGACCACAATCCTCCCCATTTCAGTAAAATGTTATTGTTATATTAGTTTGGCCCAAAACTCTGAAGTCATCCTCAACTCCCTCACTCTCACCATCAGATAGCTCTGATCCATCAGTTTATTCTAAGGCCATAAAATGCAAATATACCCAGAATCTGACTATTACTACAACGGTCTAAGCTACTACTGTCACCCGGGTCATTCCTGTGACTGCTTACCTGGTCTCCCAGCTCCCCACCTTTGCCCTCCTAGTTCTGTTCTCCACAGACAGCTGGAGTGACAGTGCTGAACGTCAGCTCACTCTTCTGCCTGAAGCCCTCTCACTTCACTCGCAGTAAAGCCCAAAGTCCTTAGGCTGGTCCACGAGGCTCTAATTTCCTATTTCTTCCCCTCCTTCACTCTGCCCTGGCCAGAGATCCTCTCTCTGCGCCTCAGCCACACCCAGTACGCCCTGCTTCGAGCCTTTTCCCTTGGTGATTCCTAGACTACTCTTTTCCTGGCACCCACGCGCTTTACTTCCCTAGTCCCTTCTCCAGCACCTTCTCTGTGCAATTTTCAAAGACTGCACACCATTTCAAAACCCCCTCTCTCTCCTGACTAAAGGTTTTCAGAAAAGGGTTTTGTTTATTTTGTTCATTATTGTATCCCAGATTCAAATTAGGGCCTAGCACCTGACAGTTATTCTGTAAATATTTGTTGAATAAATGAATGAATCCCCAAAGAGTCAGGAAACACTGCACCAATGCTATCTCAAAACTCTTCCCACAGAAAGTTTCTATTCTGTATACCGGATGGTATCACTGGGACTTGCCTGCTTAGTCTGCTTCCAAGATTGGTTCCCAATTTTGACATGGAGGAAGGCATCAAGACCATCCCCAAGGAAAAGATATGCAAAACGGCAAAATGGTTGTCTGAGGAGGCCTTACAAATAGCTATGAAAAGAAGAGAAGCAAAAGGTAAAGGAGAAAAGTAAAGATATACCCATTTGAATGTAGAATTCCAAAGAATAGCAAGGGGAGATAAGAAAGACTTCCTCAGTGATCAATGCAAAGAAATAAGAGGAAAACAATAGAATGGGAAAGACTAGAGATCTCTTCAAGAAAATTAGAGATGCCAAGGGAACATTTCATGCAAAGATGGGCTCAATAATGGACAGAAATGGTATGGACCCAACAGAAGCAGAAAATATTAAGAAGAGGTGGCAAGAATACACAGAAGAACTGTACAAAAAAGATCTTCATGACCCAGATAATAATCACAATGGTGTGATCATTCACCTAGAGCCAGATATCCTGGAATGTGAAGTCAAGTGGGCCTTAGGAAGCATCACTATGAACAAAGCTAGTGGAGGTGATGGAATTCCAGTTGAGCTATTTCAAATCCTGAAAGATGATGCTGTGAAAGTGCTGCACTCAATATGCCAGCAAATTTGGAAAACTCAGCAGTGGCCACAGGACTGGAAAAGGTCAGTTTTCATTCCAATCCCAAAGAAAGGCAATGCCAAAGAATGCTCAAACTACTGCACAATTGCACTCATCTCACACGCTAGTAAAGTAATGCTCAAAATTCTCCAAGCCAGGCTTCAGCAATACGTGAACCGTGAACTTCCAGATGTTCAAGCTGGTTTTAGAAAAGGCAGAGGAACCAGAGATCAAATTGCCAACATCCGCTGGATCATCGAAAAAGCAAGAGAGTTCCAGAAAAACATCTATTTCTGCTTTATTGACTATGCCAAAGCCTTTGACTGTGTGGATCACAATAAACTGTGGAAAATTCTGAAAGAGATGGGAATACCAGACCACCTGACCTGCCTCTTGAGAAACCTGTATGCAGGTCAGGAAGCAACAGTTAGAACTGGACATGGAACAACAGACTGGTTCCAAATAGGAAAAGGAGTACGTCAAGGCTGTATATTGTCACCCTGCTTATTTAACTTATATGCAGAGTACATCATGAGAAATGCTGGACTGGATGAAGCACAAGCTGTAATCAAGATTGCCAGGAGAAATATCAATAACCTCAGATATGCAGATGATACCACCCTTATGGCAGAAAGTGAAGAAGAACTAAAGAGCCTCTTGAAGAAAGTGAAAGAGGAGCATGAAAAGTTGGCTTAAAACTCAACATTCAGAAAACTAAGATCATGGCATCTGGTCCCATCACTTCATGGCAAATAGATGGGGAAACAGTGACAGACTTT